GGTGATCTCCTGGCCCGAGCAGCCCCAGAGCTTAACAGTTAAGATACAGCTTCACGCATATCTATGTATTTCCTAAATTGGTCTCCAGTTCTTGTATGGACATCTGTCTTTACAATTAGCAAACGAACGCTTTAAGTTCAGAAACTATAATAATACGCACTTCTTCAGTGTGTCTATAGATATGTTCTGTGTTCAGTTTCAATCACACTTGGAATTCTAGCTCGTCAATGGGGCAGTAAATGCATGCTGATTGGTGCTTTGCTGATTAATCAGTCTCACCCCAGGAAAATTTGTTCCGCTCACTTTATGGCTCGCTACGCTTGAACGGAGAGAAAAGGACTTGTTTCTGTCAGGTCACTCTGAGTTCTGGGCCAGGCTTGGGGAAAACCCTGGTTACTGTGGTTACTGGGTAACTTGGAAGCCATCGTGAATATATTTCCTTTTCTCCTTATTCAGCCAAAAGCCCAAGGCACTGAGTGCAGCAAGCACAATGCCATCATGCCTTTGCTCTGGGTAAGGTTTGGGAGGGTTGACGAATGGCTTCCTGCCCAGCGTGTCCGACCGAGCACACGGCGTTCTGAGAGGGACTTTGGTGAACACAGTCAGCTTCAGCTCAGCTGCTCAGCCCACGACACACCTGGGAAAGGGCTCGTCTCCCAGGGACTCTGCCCCAGCGTGGCAAGTACATAGGCAGTGAACCCCGCGGCTTCGGGACTGAGCACAGAATTCAGGAAAATGGAAAGAGCACCGCACTGTTTGAAAATCGGATGCATGGTTGCTGACACCCTTCTGAGAGCTGAAAGAGAACATCTCATATGGGGGATCAGCAGCTTCACTGAAGAGAAAACAATGGAAGTGTAAGGATAGCTCTACTGTAGAAAATGCATGGAAGTGAACTTCATGTGAAGACATAAGACATTGAACGTTCGAGGAAATCAGCCTTGCTCAGATATGCCCATAATCATCTCTTATGGATGGCATGGCTATCCCTTTGCACTTAAAATATTTTGGGGGGAGGGGGTGAATGGGGAGGGGGGGATGAATTCAAGCAAATAATTTATTCATTTCAAAGCAGTAAATTTCACAAGTAAATTAATATTTTGTTTCAATACACAAAGTGTTTTTATTTGACATAATTAAGTTTTAAAAATAAATGCCATATATTATTCATCATTGCATATACCTCCAGTATCCAGCATAGGATAGTCAATAATTCATTATTGAACTGAACCAAACATGCTGAATTCCCATCCCCCTAAATTTAATTGATTGTGTGACTGCATTTAAGGTTTCCATATCTTTTTCTCTTGAGAAATTATATGCAGCCTACCACTATCTACTTGTGTATCATACTCCTATCATACATTCCCATTGATTTTTCAGTGATAGCGAGGCCTAAATGACACTTATGTACTTCATTTTCTTCTATATCATTTTTTTTACTATGCTAAGACTTAATACATTTAGAACAATTTCAATAAACTTCCTTGTACAATACCTGGTAAATTATAAGTCAAATAGGAACCATGCCTAATTGGAAGTGCAACAAACAATAAGTATTCAGGCTCCATTCGTTAGAGCAGAAAGCTCACCACCCATCAGTGAGCCCAATAGGCGTAACAGGTCTCTCTAGGACAAGAGCCTTTGGGTGACCTATGAGAGAATTAATGGACGTCTGCATGAGGGATATTTACTGACTTCCACATTTGGGAAAATACAATGAAAGAAGTAGCTGCAATACAGTTGTGATTTCATGATGAAGAAATAGAGTGAAGATGCTATCACTTATTTTCCAAAGTGAAGGAACCTGAGATCCTATGAGCTAAAGACAGACCTTTATAGAACAATCCAAGTTTAATCTTTACAAAATAAAAGAATATTTTTAAGGCTTCCACCAAATAAACCACTTAATATCTATCTTCTAGGTGGATGCTAATCCTGAGGTATAAAAGGGGTTAAGGGACCCCTGAAGGGTCTATTTACCTCAGGTCTATTTCTAAAGCCCCCTATCATGTTGTTATAGAAACCAGTTGCAGCTGAAAAATCTCCCATTATGATTATTGCTATAGTAACCACCCAAAAGACAGCTAGTTTTTCATCCGTTTGCCATCCTCTCCCCCATTCCCAAGATAGTTTTGCTTCTAAATGCTTCTATGTTGCTGGAAACAAAGGAGAAAAAAGAGTAAATGAATTTAGTGGGGAAGAAAAAATGAGAGAGAGAGAGAGAGAGAGAGAGAGAGAGAGAGAGAGAGAGAGAGAGAAATGAGAGTACACTACAAGTAATAAAGAGATCCAAGCTATTTCATTTATCTTTACAGAGAAAAGAAATTATAATTAGACAACCAAACTAGCTCTTAAATTGGTGACCAAATCTCTTAATTTCCATCTGTTTAGACTCAACGTAGTAAAAATTAGATGTAGAATATTGCCATTGCTCATATTTTTAAAGCTACCCTTGAGCATTTCAGAGAATTTCCCAATAGAATATATGACTTTGTGTAGTGCTGCCTCTTCCAGTTTAAATCAAATTAAATATATATGGTAATTTTTTAATAATACTTTCTTATAAGGTGTTATTAAGTTCTAATATGGTATCATGTTTTAAATATTATGTTTTGATAACCATTAATTTAATTCATCTCTTTCCCCATGAACATGTAATCAGTTTTAAAATTCTAATGTAATATTACGTTTTGGCACTGTTTTGTGAAAAGGGCCCCTATGTAAGTCAAACCAAGTAGAATCATTCTGTACTCTCCTGCCTCAGACTTCATCTAATCATATTGAATGGCCTCATCTGTTAATAAGTAGCAAATTTGTTGGTTGGATTTTGTGGTTTTTATGAACTTTGAAATAGTTTGGAATCAGAGTGTTTTGAAGGAAAACTCCTGTACTGAGAAAATGACACGATGATTATGGTAATAGTGTTTCAAACCTGTCACCCCAGTGAAGATCTTAGAAGTGTCTAGGGTTCTTTCCTAGATCAAAGCCGGAAGCAATGATGTGTTGGGTAGGAAAAGGTTGTTGCCAGATCAAAAGTTAATATTCAAAATCATGAAGTCAGGAGAAACTCAGCTCACTGCTACTAACTTCAGTTTACCTCTCCTGTTGTCCTTTCAGAATGTCTAGTACAAGGAACTGTTATCATTGTCTAAATATTTTATTTGAAAAGGAATAATGTAGATCACTCAAAGGAGCGGTGGCCATTTACATATCAAGCAAATAATAACAGAAATAAAAAGAGGAATCTATAGCAATAAGAAATAGTAAAGGACTTCAATATGGGAAGATCATCCAGAAAAAGTCAACAAGGAAAAGTTGGACTGGACCCATGCTTTCCTAACAGACAAATACAGAGCATTCCATCCAACAGCAGCAGCGCTTCCCTCGTTACCTGCTATTGTTTATGCTGAAGTATAGTTTGTACAGGAAAAGAAAACCAAATGCTTCATTTCCCCTTTATTTACCAGTTTTCAACATGAATTGGTTCCCTAGTGTTTATCTCTTTCTTCTTGGTTTGTAGGAACTCTTTATCTGTTAAATATACTGCACTCTTCTGTCAGTCTTTTAATTTTTTGAATGATGTCTCTTTTTTGGACAAAAATCTTTAGTTTTATATAATCAAACCCTGCTGTTATTTTGACCACTTACAATTACTCAGGAAGCCTCTTTCTTTCTTTCTTTCTTTCTTTCTTTCTTTCTTTCTTTCTTTCTTCTCTCTCTCTCTCTCTCTCTCTCTCTCTCTCTCTCTTTTCTTTCTTTCTTTCTTTCTTCCTTTTTCTTTTTCTATAAAAATCTCATTTAATGAGTGTTGTTCCTGGCCAGAGGGAAAATATCTTGATCGTTGTCCAGGTGAAGTAACACACACCCAGTTAGTTCAGAAAGGGGCACAACCCCAAGCCGGGCAATCAGAGACCTTATTTGAAGAAATGTATATTTAAGCCCTCCTTCTGAAAAGGCCCATGAGTCTGGACCAGCAAGGAGCTTTCCTCGCTGCCACATGGAGGAAACCTTGCTGAGAATGAAGATAACACAGACACAAGGAGGGACGCAGAACTGAGAGATGGACAAAAGATTTGGGAGATGGACAGAAAAGTTGTGAGATGGGAAACAGAAGCTCAATAGGGAAAACCTAGCAAACCACTTGGAGGGAAACAGAAAATCAAAATTTATTGAGACAGCTTCAGGGCCATCTAGATGACGCTCTTCGTTATTTAATCAGCGTGTGTTTCCCCTGGCGTGAACGGCCTCCCGTGAAAGGGAGCGGAGCTTTGTCTCCAGAGCCATGCACCTGCCTCCCCTTCTGCACAGAATGTCTCACCGTGTGGTGGGCTGCCCCTCACTTGGCTGTCAGTCACCACCTCAAGCTTCTGCGCTGTGGCCGCTCAAGAAGGCCTTGTTCCTAATCTGGAGGGACTTCAGTGTGGGTAGGAATGACCCTTGCCAGTTTAATGACCTTCACTCCCAACCTATTTCAGCAACCAGTGCTCAAGACCACCGCTTGTCCCCATCTGTCAATCCCACTGCACTGAATTGTTCAAGTCTTCTGTGATAATCATTGACCTGCAGCACAATATGATTTGAAGGACAGATAAGTTTAATTCTGTGAGAAGTGGAAGGGCTGTGACAGAGGCATAGGGAGAACCTGTAATTTCAGCCATGATCATTTTGTAAAATCATCAATGAAGAGAAGATATTCCAACCAAGCAGTGGATTCTCTTGTCCTATTTTTAAAACAACGATAGTATTACAACAAACACTTAATGGATCAATTTTTAAAAGACGAATGCAATGATTGTAAGCTCTTTACTTGCTTACTATGTGTCTGAGCATTTTACATACTCGAAAAAAAGGATTAACATCTCTTTCTTTGGCCTTTTCTGTAGAGTCAGCCAGCCCTGAAGATTCGAGCTTTCAGTTTGCCGCAGCCACTGAGGAATAGGTAGACATTTACCTGCCTCAGATGCAGGATAAATGAGAGCCCATGTACCAGACTCAGCATTTATAACTCATCGCCATGGGGAACTAATGAATGGTGCTGCCCTGGAGGATGGGAGCTATTCACACAACCCTGACGAGATGGGATTAACCGGTTACTTGAATGTGGCTCACAGGGACCCGGAGCTGATGGCTTCCCTGAGCTAATGTTTCTAATCAACTTTGTTCCTTTGCTCCTTGTGACTACACGTACCCTGTGCAGGATTATTGGGATCCAAGCCTGCCTGGGAATCGTGAGACCGCTGCTGTGCTGTTGTCGTGTGTACCACAAGGCTTGTCCTGCCAAATTTCTTAAAGATAACCAGACTCGGTGCTTGAAGCAGCTTTTCATGAATCTTGAATTTGACTGTCAGTCTGAAGTTAAGACCACAGCTCCTGGTAGAAGAGTCTGGGCATTGCACATACATTATTTCATTGAATTCTCACAACATTCCAATGCAGTTGGCAATAATCACCATCTCCACTTTGTATTGTAGATGAGTATTTGGACGAGGAAGGCAAAGTCACCATATCTTGCCAGCAAACATATTAACACAGATAAAAGTCTGCCTCTTTAAAAAGGAAACAAAATGAGACTCAAATTTATTTTCTTAACTAATAAAATATTGTAAGAGAGAATATTTCAAATAATGACAAAGTATTTCTTTAGAGCCTGTCAGTGAAAGAACCCATTGCGAGAGAGAAAAAAATGATTTGTGTGTAACTATGGGTCCACAGTTATGAGACCCTTACACAAAGAGACGTCCTCGTATACGAGTTTACACAGTCACCTCCTCAAAAGTGAGTGCAGCAAATGTTGGGAATTTTCATGTAAATTGCATTGAAATTACCAAGTTCTGTGCTAAAAAATGTACAGTAAACTCAGTTCTCCTTGCATTTCACATACCTTATCATTTCTTTTGTTGCCTTTCTCCGCTCCCCTGTGCATCTCGACATAACACTTCCTCACTGCCTATGGCCCGGGGTCCACTTTAAGTTTCAAGGAGGATGAATAACTATTGAAAGAACAACTGTTTTAAAACACAAAACATCGCTAGAAAAAAGTCCTCCGTGCCTCTCTCTCTCTCCCTCTCTCCCTCTTTCCTCTCTCCCTCTCCCTCTCTTTCTGTCTCCCTCTCTTTCTGTCTCTCTCCCTCTCTCCCTCTCCCTCTCTGTTGTAATCAGGTATTTTACTATTCTGTTACTTAAACTTGGACTTGCTTTTCCTATAATTGCCTTCAGGTCCCTAGCTATGGCAGCAACTGCTATTTTCACCCACTGAGATGTAAACCATACATGTCACTATCTCACTGGTATATAAAGTGACCAGGATTACATGACCCTGTGTGCTCATGTCCACTGGGCTTGCTCGGTGGCAGCCGCTCCAGGCTTCGCCCTCTGATACTCAGACTCAACAGACGCAGATCCGAGGCCCCTTTGAGAAGCACACACTCTGCCTGTCTTCCTTGTAAATGTGTTCAATAGTCACCATCCCTCATAAACCCAGAGCTGAGGCCATGCCGGCGCCTCTGATTACCCAAGCTGCCACACATCTGACAAGAGTTTTCCAGAAACATGACTTCTGTTTGTATTTGGGGAACTCTGTGGAGTATAACATCTTCATTTGTAAAGCAGTAGCATGTACCATAGACAGGAAGCCCATTTCACTCGGCAAAAGAGATGCTTTAAACCATTATCCTTTGGGAAAAATTGAGACTGTCCCCTTGATTATGAGATTATGAGCAAATGTTGGAATACAAAGTTCTTTAAAAGTGAAGTCCCATACACATCAGAAATAAAATGCATTACAGCTTATGATGAACTTCCTTTTAGAGTACATCAATTATAAAGTGCCAAATCTGTTTTGTAAAAGTGTAAACAGCAAAACACCTTAATTTCTATGTGGCCATTTCAATCTCCTGTCACATAGAAACTCTTCAAACTCAAAGGTTTAAGAAAGAACATTTTCTACAACTAAACACTTATTGGAAATCACAGGATCAGAAAATTGCTCACACCAACCACTTAACACAGGACACATACTGGCGCCAAATTGACTTTATTTTCAAGCATTGCATTCTGCAGAACATGTAACATTATGAACTATTTGCAAGAAATACTTAAAAGTCAGGAAAAGTACCAAAAGCTCAATATGTGGAAAAGGCTTACTTTTTATGCAGGTGAACAGTGAGGAACTGAAGTAGATGAAAAGGTAGTTAATTTTCTTAGGCGTCCTGGTCTCATTTGGAGGACGTGCTCACATATGTTGCTGGTGGTCTGGTCCCAGTCCTGCTCCTGACCCGTCTGTCTCAGACAGGAGCTGGTGCCTCTGAGTCCCCAGGTGCCACCTCAGCCCCTTCCAGCTTCGATTGGAAAAGCCCTGTGCTTCTTAGCATCTTATGTTCACAGGAGGGTGGGGTGACTTTTCAAACCTGATGCAGATTTGTTTCCTGTTGGACTGGATTCATTCTCCCTGAGGCCTTTTCTTCCATGAATAATGGCTCCTCAGAAAGACCTATGTAAGGTTAGTGACTTCAGTCAACTCTAGTACAGGACTTAATTGCTGATGACTGTCTCAGCACACAATAGTTATGATGTGACAGCTACTAAGGGGACACCTTATGTTCCCATCAATTAACATTCATCTCCAGAACACAATTCACAGATGACGTCGATTTTTGTCACCACGCAGCCAGGTATCTGTGGTTGATAAAACAGACGAGCTCTGGAGTTGATGTGGGAGCAGTTTCCTCTGCAAGCCCAGAGCCCATTTTATGCCCTGCCAATGACAGTTACATACTTTGGGATTTCCTGGATTTTGGTTTTACCGTAACAGTTGAATGAAAACACGTTTGCTTATTTTTTATATATGCTTATCATACAGAATGCAGTATTTTTCTTCAGATTAATTGTTCAAGTCCTTAAGATTGTATTATTTTTGGACACTTTGTGGAAACGTCTATTAGTTAAAATTGGAATGCTATATTCTCTGACTGGAGGATGCCTTTTATCTGCGGTTAAAACTGGTTGTTTTTTATACTTTTTATATGACAGATTTTATCAAAAGCTTGATAGCTCTGTCAGATATTTATATATTTTGAAATCTTTATATTTGTTGCACATATATCTAAATGGGGAATAATATTTTGATAACTAACTTAATATTTTCTACTAACATTAATCTCTCCCCTACTCCCATGGGATTTTCCTTGCCATAGTGGGATTTATCCCTTTAAAATTATGTATTTCTTACAGAGTTCATGACAGTTATTATTTTTAAAGATTTCCCCCTATTATGTGAAAAATGTAATTTGGGCAATTTAACAAGTAGAGTAAAAGAAAGTCAGATTACAGAGACATTTCTCATCCTTTATTCTAACCCCTGCATTTTACCAGTTGGAGAACTGAGATGCACAACAATTATACTATCTGCCCGGAGTCATCCAGTGAGTTAGCGGCAGCATTAGGACCAGACTCTCCCCATTGGTTTCTAGAACATTCCTTCAACAAACCCTGTGGATTCCTTTTCCATGTTTATTCTTAGATACCCCTTCACACTTTCTGCAATAACCCCACCCTAGGCGGTCCACATCTCGGACCAACATAATCGTCCATCTGTACTAAAAAGGCCTTCAGGGAGAGGTAAACAGAGCACAAAGGATGTTTAGGGCGCTGAAAACACTCTGTATATTATAATGATGGATACATGTCGTTATCCTTTTGCCTAAACCCACAGAATGTACAACACCAAGAGTGAACCCTAAGGTGCACTCTGGACTTTGGGTAACTATGATGTGTCCACGTAGGTTCATTCTTGGTAACAGTATACCATTCTGGGGAGTGATGTTGGTAATGGGGGCTCGGCCCCTGTGGGGAGAGGAGGTATATGAGGAGTCTCTGTATTTACTCTTGATTTTGTTGTAAACCTAAAAATGCCTTTTAAAAAAAGTCTTTAAAATATGAAAAAAGAAGCCATCCACGATGGACCTCAAAACTAAGGCAGCGACAGCCTAGAAAGCCAGTTGATAGGCTGGAGGGGAAATAAACAGAAAAGACAATCAGGCCTGGAGCCTGATGGTATTAGAACACTTTCCTATAAAGCGTGCTTAGTTAGGAATGTCTCAATCAGACAAATAAATTTCGAGTTTTTCAAAAGACAAAGGTCTCAAAGATAAGAAATGGTTGAGAAAACGTTTATACAAAGACTGCTTGAAGGAATGGTATATGCTGAGTTTGAATATAGGAAAACGGAGGATATGGCCATTAAACAAATGGCTGCTATATATCAGATTGGGGCCATTCAGGAGACTTTTACAAAACACATAGTAATTAAGCTGAATTTTCAATCCTAAGTGTGAGTTCAACAAACAAATACAGGAAGAGTGGTCTTGAGGGCATTTCAGGAAAACAGTGGGTGTCCACGTAGAGACATTAAGGGCTTGGGCGGATCAGGAGCTGCAAATATTCTGATAGTGCAGAAACATGAGCATGAAGAGGCGATGTCAGCTCCCGAGACTCAGTAAACCACAAAATCAAGGTACTCTAACTTTCACTAAGAAGAAAGGAAACCATTCACGATCATTCGTGCATTTGGAAAGATACCCCTCGTGGTCACGTGGCAATGGTTGGTAGAGGGCAGATAAGCAAGAAGCATGGGTCCCAGAGAGAAGGCTGCTGAGAATAAAAGTCAACCAGAGAGAATAAAAGTCAACGAGGATCTAATGGACCTACGTGGGGAACAGGCAGCAGGAAAGCTACCATTGTTACCAGCTCGGATACTTGGGCTTACACTAATGCCGGTCGCAGAGGCGAAGGATACACAAGGGCTTCCAGACAAGAAGCAGCAAGCCCTCTCTCCGTCATGTCAACACGTTGATATATACTCATACGCTTTTTTTTTTTTTTTAGCTGAGCCATCCTGCTACCTGTTGGCAGCTCAGCGGCTGCTCAGCTCGGGCTGGACTCGAACCGCTGTTGCTCAGAGTTCAAACTCTTGAGCGAGCTCTTAACCAACTGAGCCACTCAGCCGGCCCCTAAACGCATACACTTTTTACGGCACCCTCTTTATATATATACTGAGATGTGGCATAATAAGGTAAAGCAATCATTTGATTAATCTATTGCATATATGAACTCCCTTTCTTTAAACCCTGTAATTGCCTTTAGAAATTATTATATTTCATCTAAAGATATATAAAGACATCTTTTTAAAAATGTATTTGCTGAAGTTATGCAAGAGTGCTGATTCTAGTTCATCTATGTCTTTACTCAAACATTAAAACCAAGGAGGCCTTTTTGTTCCCTCTCCTCATTCAGTGATCACCACCGCAGAGACGTAGAAATAGCAACAGAGCCTGGGATTCGAGTAGAAGAAACAGTAAGAAAAAAATAAATAAAAATTCGGTTCACATCATCAATCATGGTGACACTCCTAAGAAAAGAACATGAACAGTTCTGCGTAGTTGTCACCAATGACATCGATATGCATGTCAAAAATCGTTGGTGGACTAAAACCTTTAGCACTGTATCTCGTTACAAACAATGGTCGCATGAATTTTGTGTGCATCGCTCATGCCAAGGGGGCAGAGGAGTACGGAGAAGTGTGTGGGCTGAACTGGTCTCGAGAAGCCTGTTGTCACCATCCCGGCAGGATCCTCACAAGGGGCAAGCCTGCAGAGGCTTCTGGAAGCTTTTTATCAAATCCATGTGCTGCGGCTCTCTTCCCATGAATTACGCTCATATCTGTAAATAAGTGTATCCAGTGTCTCTGGAGAAGCAGAAGCGAGGTATGAACTGGGAGGCGTGAAGATTGCTGAGTGGAGACTCGGGCTTCAGATCAATAGTTGCCTGAAGCCTTTTCACCATTAGCATCCCTGGGACGTTTGGGACGAGCTCTGGCCCAAGTCCTTATTACAGTAAAAAACTCCCCAAACCTCAGATTTAGAATTGTGATCTCACTGGGCTTCCCTATAAGTGGTCATAGATGCTATCAGCACAAAGAGCTGATATTTCTTTTAAACCTTGATCGTTTTAGCAAATGACACCATAGCCTTAAAAATTCAAACCCACTAAGAAAAAAATTCAAAACAAATTTTAGAGGGAATTTTAGCTTACCAAGCGATTCTTTGCTTTGCAAAAGAATAAGCCCATACACTATTTTCCTCCCCAAAATGTTCTTTGTATCTCTTTTTTTTCCTTCGTTATGAAACTAATTTTGTGCGAAGCATCACAGATGTGGGCACTCGGATCTAATTCTTTTGTTGTAGCATTCAAAATCATTTGTCAAGTCCCAAATATAAAAAAGGTTTTGGGAAAACAACGATACATTAATCTCTCAATTATTTTATTTCCCTTTGGGAAAGACACCTGGATTACTGGGGGAGAAGGGTGAGTTGGAGACTTTTTATGTCTTTTTATACTTCCCCCTTTTAATGCTGAAATGTATAACTGTAGTAATTATTTTAAAATTAAGAAAAAGTTTCATGATTTCTTCTGAGAGATTGGTTTTGTCTGCAGCCTGTAATCACATTTTGTTTAAAAAATAACATTTAGGTTTAATCTTGTACCAGAGTTTAATCGTTAACGAAGACATTTCAGCCAATAATGAAGATCCAAAGTAGAGTTAAAAATCACCAACCTGTGGGTAATATCATAAATTGGCAGACATGCAGGCAGTGCTCACTGTATCGTAATTTAATCCTTATCTGATTGTTTTTACCATTTATTTTAACATCAATTCCAGAAACATTAAAATATAAGAATAATAATTTTATTATAAGAAATAGGGAATTTTTAAGGCCAAGCCCAAGTCTCAACTCCAGTAGGCTTTTTTCCCATCTCACTGATCTCTCTTTTGGTGTTTTTCTGTATTTGAAATATTTACCACACATTTTGGAGTTGGTTACAATAATCACCACTTACCTTAACACCCCAACCTTGTCTGTTAGGCAGTATTGTCCTATCTTACAGATCAGGAAACTGAGGCCCAGGGTACTTAGGGAATTAAAAGGATTCAAAATCAGGCTTGTCTGACTCGAGCCTGGGGGATTCCCACCCAGTTATATTTTGTCTTGTATAATTTCTAATTATTTCTTTTCCTAAATTTATAACAAGTTAGCAGTGAGCCCTTTGCAGATGGGGACACGGGCAGTGCTTAGGTTTGCCCTTCACAGCCCCAAGCACAACTCTGGAAATTTAATCATTCTTCATAAAATGCTTTTAGATGAGGAGGGCATATTTTGCTGAAAACTCTGACATTTGGGAAAAGAGCTGTTAAATACACATTTATAATTATAATGTGAAAATATCCTTCCAGGCCTAAAACATGTGATTTTGATGGATATTCATATAGGAATCCTTTTGGTGTCACAATATTTAAAAAGGAAAATATTTACAAGCGTTTCTAACACAATTGCTACTTGGTTAACAGCCGAGTCTATTCCT